AAGAAAAATTCAGTATATAATTATATAATTATATAATTATATATTATATAATTTATTAAATATTAGATAATTTAAATTGAAAATAAAAATTAATTTCAATTAATAAATTAATTATAAATAATAATAATAATAATAACTGTAATATTAATATACCAAGCATATGTTGCAATTCAACTTGTGATAATATAGGACGCCTAGGTATACTTGGAGATCTACATCGTGGAGGTGTGGAACATGACTCCACCAACTCCTCACTGTCAATACTACGAGGTACTAAAGCACCCACTAATAAACGCTCAGTAGATCCATCATCTATTCCTCTACCAAGCCAACGACCACAGGGAAACTTGAATGTATGCCCAGTTACTTCATTTCTCACTACAACATGTTCAACCATCCATTTTGGCGACAACCCAGTATTGTCATGTCCAATCCGTAACGTAGACAACACACCTAAATTTTTATGCTAAAAAAATATAAAAAGATAATTACATAATTAAAATTTAAGATAAAAAATATTACATAATTTTATTTTAAAAAAAGGAAAGTTTCTAAAAAATATCAAAAATAAGTATTTACTATTATATATGTAATTTTATATGTAAACATAGATTTTTTACTATCAAATAAAGATTTCAGAATAATAATTATTTTAAAATGATTGATTCAATTATTTTTAATAAAGCTAATCAATTAACTAAAATAAAATTAATAATTTACGCAGTTAAGTAGAGTAATGGGATGTTCAAATTAAAATACTTACGTGAAATACAAATTCAAGCGCACCCTTTGGTATGGGTACGGGATTAGTTTCGCAGAGTGTGCCAGAAATAGCGATCCAACTATTAGCCGAAGTCGTAGCGGCGCTTGCCTTTCGACTAGGAAATATTACTACTCGATACGGTAATTTTGTCGTCGGATAGTTGTTTGTAAAGCAGAAGTAGTCAACGGCATTCAATGTCAGAAGATGATATAAGAATTGCTCTTTTTCTTCTTCACAACGTAAAAACGCTGATCTTTTATACTGGCTCCTAATAAGTCAAAAATAACAAATAGAGTTAAATAACAAATTAGTTTGATATTAAAGATTATTGTTTAACTGTATTTAATCATATTACAGAATACACATTAATCATTATTAACTAATCACTAATTATCATATATATCATATGAGAATGATTGTATTTAATAATGCACCTTAATAGAGCAGTATCTGACAATAACGTCTTCAAATGGCGCGACAGCAATTTCTTTTCAAGCGCTAATCGCACCCATGCTCTCGCATATCCAATGTGTGTCTTGATATCAGTCATCGCTTGAACATTACGAATATCGAAGATTAGAGAGTCTGGAAGAGGTCTCAAATGTTCAGGACCAATAGTTTTCCTTTCACCAGGAGATTTGTGCTTATCCGTGCCTCTTGTTGGTGAAACATCCGTCTCCAATTGCAAATTCGATAAATCTGTTACCAATATAAAATATTTTAGATTACAGTCGTTTTTTCAGTCAAAGAATACGAACAAAACACAAGCAAGAACAATATTTTTTTAAAACTTTCAAACTTTTATCTAATTATATTCAATGTTATGTTCCTTCGCATACAATAATAAATGCATGCAATAACATGCTCTATATAAGCATTCAAAAATACATCTATACACTTCTCAATCTTCATATATAATTTAGATAAAAATATATCACACGTATATATAATTATATATAATCATATCATAGCAATCTAACATGCATTCTTTTTTAAACACAATATAGATAAATCTTTTTAAACTGTAATATTAAATAATACGATTGTAATACAATTGTCATTATAAAATAATATTTTTATTAAGATATTTGTTAATTAAGCATTCACGGACAAAAAAAATAAATATTACTAATAGAGTTAGTTCGTCAAAACTGTCTTTTTCTGGCAAGCCAATACCGAGGCTTACCATTAAAATTGTCCTTGATGTAAGAAGCAATTTCAATAATACTTTTGCCTCTTAAAGATGAAACCAAACGATCCGGTATCCCGAAAAACTTATTCGGAGATTTCTTAGCTAATTAGAACACAAAAAATAAAATAAAGAAAGGAAAAAGAAACATATAATAATAAATTAAGATGTAATAGCTTATATTAATTCAAATTTTGCTCGCATTAATTTTGATTCTGCTTTTCATCATTGAATAATCGAAATTACTTAAAATACGTGCGACAGTATAAACACGTAATATAAACTATTGGTGAATCACTTACAAAACTAATAGTGCAGGATATCTACGTACGAAGAGAACACTAATCTCTACTTTATAATACTTTATCTTATTATAAGACACGTACAATCGAGTCGCTTCCGTAGCACGGACCATGCTAGCGCTGCATTTCCGTAAAATAGTAATAATTTAATATACAATCGATAAATTATTTTTTCTGCTGTGTGTACGTATTACATTGTTTATGAGCACGTTTATTAGAAATAAAATATATAAAAATGTAAGTATTAGATGATATTAAATCGCAATTATCTACACATTAAAACATGCGTGCTTACCAGGGGAAAGAAAGTTGGGATCTATAGATTTGGTCGCATCGTTGCATTCTTCTGATTCTTGATACATAGTCAAGTGCGACCAAAGAGCGCTCTTGCCTTGCTTATTTTGCAGTCCGTGACTCCATACTCGTTCCAACAGATCACAGAGACTTGCGACTAGAGTATTCTCCTCGACGTCAGACAGAGATTCGCCACCGTGACCAAGCGCGACAGCTTCAGATCCCATCTTCTCCACTAACATTCTCTTCGTTTTAGATTTACAATCCTTATCGCAAAAATAACATTCTTGTAACAATGATCTTACAATTAATTTATAATTAGTAATTAGATAGTAATAATTATTCTGAATTTTATATATAATAAATATAGTTTATGAGATAAATCTAACTTAAAAGAATAAAAATAAATTGTACTTAATTTTTAAATAGACACCACTATAGAGATAATAAATGTGCATAAAAGTTTAATTATGAATATAATATTTATAAGAAAAAAATACCTTGAGCAATTTTTCAACAAATGTCCAATTAGCTTGTGCTATCAAAGCGGGACTCATATCCGCTGAGAGTTTAGTTTGAGGTCGAGGCGATTGAGATTCTTGAGGTGTTGGAGGCTTCCCATTCGTATCTATCGATTTCATCTTGTATTTCCATTGTGTCTGTCCTCTTCTACTACTACAAACAAAACATTCAATTATATTCATTCAATTATATATATATTTATATATATATATATTTA